CCTTGTTATCAGTGAATGCATTCAGTTGTAAAAGAAACATATTAATACAGTTGTGTGGGAAATTAGTTTAAGTCAATCCTGAGCAACCAAATGCATGAAACGTGGATCCCAACAACTCTTTAGGAGAGCAGGAGTTATGACAGGGAAAGATTATACTAAGTGGGGCAATTAATAGATCAGGAAAAGGATCCCAGTTGTCAACATTTATCCTCCCTCCCTTTATTCAAACATGGGCCAATCTGATGACAAAGAGAATCACAGGGTTTAGAGCAACAAGGGGCCTTAGAGATCGAGTGCCATCTCATCATTTCATAGCTGAGGAAATCTGAGTTGGAGAGGCATGAATGGCCAAACACTTTGCAGAGCACAGTGGGCATTAATTCAATGTTTTAGGAAAGCAAGATCAAGTTACCTAATGCACAAAATAGAATGTCAATTGTAAAAATGTTTTCAGCAAGCATTTACTTCTGAAACACATATCCTGGCCAGAAGGGTAAACATTTGCTCAAGTGCAATGTGTCTGGGCAAAAGACAACCCTGGTATGTAGGTCTTCAAGGAGATTGGAAAGGAAACAATGATAGTCAAGAGCATAAGAACTCAGCCCCCTTCTTCCCAATGCTGTTTGCTTTTGAAGGGACCCTGAAAGCAAGAAACAGCTGACTCCCTGTGGAGAAACATAATCGATCTTGTTCCGGGACTAAAGAAACAAAAATTTTAAAAAAGCCAACATACAGAGAGGGAATTGGGACCTGAGACAACCTGTGTCCTGCTTGCTTAGTAGCTGTAGACAAGTGAAGCACCTCAGATTTCCTTCAGAGCTCTAAGGCACCTGTGAGTTCAACATATGCATCCAGCTTCAATTCTGTTAGGAGCCAGGGTGATTTTGCAATATTGTCCTAGAACCGAAGAGCTTGGCCCCAGGAATAGCACAACCACCATTGCAGATTTATAGAATCATAGATATAGATCCAGAAGAGACTTTGAGGCCATGGAGTCTAATTCCCTCATTTTATGAGTAAGGAAACTGTGGCACATAGATATTAAAGTCTCTAGGTGGTGAAGTGACTAGAAGACTAAACTGGGAATCAGGAAGACTTAAATTTAAATCTAGCCTCAGATCCTGGGCAAATCATTTAATCTCTGCTACCTCAGTTTCCTCATATGTGAAATGAAGATAATACCACCTACTCTCAGGGTTATTGTGAGGATAAAATTTGTGAGATAATATTTGTAAAGCACTTTGTAAATGTTAAGTTCTATGTAAATTCTAGCTATTGTTATTACTAATTACATGACTTACTCAAAGTCACACAGATAATTTCTGATGTGGAATTTGAATTGAGTTCTTCCCAATTCTAAGTCTGGTACCCTCTCCCATCACAATGCCTGTCAGCATGACATGGACCTCAACTTGCCTTTTGGATGGGTTGGATCCAGGGACCAATTGGAATTTATAATCCACATCTATGTTACATTTGAATAATGCTTCTGCTTTTATTACATTTTATCTACACTTAGTAAATTCTTAAAAATTAATTACTTATAAAAAGTAAATAAATGAGAAACACAGCCAGGGTCATAACAATGGGAGTTGCTAAGTAGGTGGAAGGGGGGGGGGCAACAAACTGAATAAAATAATGAGAAGGAAATATGCGTACCCCTAGACTGATGAAAAATGACAGACACCTGGGAACTAGATACCCATACAGGGGCAGAGCAAAGAGTGATTGCCAGCTTCTTCCCTGAGATCCTGACAGGAGGTACAGGCAGGGTGTCTGAAACCCACAGTATTACCTGGTAATGAGAAGGCCACGTAATTCTTTTAAAGTTATGCTATTTTCCAAAATTATATATACTATTCTATTTCCTTAATTTTTAAAATTTCAGATACTTTATGCATAGCCCTCCTATTATAACATATTCAGTTGTGATTGATTTTTTTTCTCAATGGAAAAAAATTCTGAACTTGGAATCAGAATAGTTTGAGCTAGTGTTTGTCATTGCTATGAAATGACCGTGTTTATTTGCACTAATAACTTGTTTCTAAAAGGCAACTCAACTTTGTTAATTTCCAAGACAACATGAAGGAGAGCCCTGCTACTTTAGATAAAGGCAATGCACTGAAACACATTTTAAAAAAATCAAATCAACACCAATGTTCAGAGGAAGATAGCAGGTTGAATCCAAAGTCTCAGTGCTGAAGGTGACTTTAACAATCATATATATACAAGTAACTTCCTATTATTCATAAAGGGATTATATGAGCCTATCTTTGCCAAGAAAACCCTCAAGTGGGATAGTGCAGAGTCAGACAAGACTGAAATGACTGAACAACAATAACAACAGCAGTAACAACAAAAAGAGAGTCACATGCTCTAGTATTGCTCAGAGCCTCACTCGCTGAAGCAAGAAAACTAATTAGGGGGCAGGGATGCATTGCCAAACATAGAGCAGGCTAAGGAAATGGTACTGGAAATGTTGCTAATTCCCTGGGAAAGATTGTTTTCAGCCTAGATGTCATAGTTGTTCAGAAAATGAAACTGTGGCCTTGACGTAGGGCAATAACGTTACCCTAGAGTCTGCAGTTCTCCATTAATAGGGTTCCTTTCTACCTACATCAGGTGGGTATGTTACTCTTCCTTCTTTCACATATTTGGGGCGCATGATGGGGAAGCGACTTTTTTCCAAGCTAGATAACAAAGATCTATCTTCTTCCAACCTCTATAACACCAACTTGTTCTTTCCCCCTGTGTTGTTGTCATTTCAGTCATATTTGACCTTTTGTGATCCTATCTGGGGTTATCTTGGCACAGATTTACCATTTCCTTTCACAGCTCATTTTATGGATGAGGAAATGAGGCAAACAGGGTTAAGTGACTTTCCCAGGGTCACATAGTAAGTGTCTATGGCCGGGTTTGAACTCAGGTCTTCCTGACTCCAGGCCTTGTGTTCTATCTACTTCGACACCTTGCTGCCCTTCCTGTCCCTTAGCATAATACATAGATGTGTTAAAGTTCTGTGGTAAGTTTACTTCTGTGTGGAAGAGATCAATGACCTAAAACCAACTTTGTGAATTGGACACAAATTGTAATTATCTGTTCTAATTCTACTAATCAATAAAAATTAAAGTGATAATAGTTGACTATAAGTATCCTGAGGATGTGGAATGTGACATATATCTGTATATTTCTCCCAATGATGGATGCTTAAGAAATCTTTATTAAATAATGAAGTGAAGGCTATCTTATATTTTGCATCATGCTTTTGGCTTTTTTCAAAGCCCTTTTTCATTGGCTTAGAGCTGGAAGGAAACTTAAATGCCATCTAGTCTGATTTCCTTCAATTTAAGAGTGAAGAAAGTGAGGAACCAAAGGGCAAGATTACTTTCCCAAGGTTAGACAGTAGTAACAGAATCAGCATTTGAACTCAGCTGGATTCCTCACTAGTATTCTTTTCTCTACTATACCATTTAATGAAGACAGTCTAGAATTAGCTTTATGTTAGCATGTCACCTAGGGTGAAAAAATATTAATAGTATGCATATATACAGGCACATGGTTGTGTGAGTGCATATAGGTGTGTGTGAATATGACTGTGGGTGTTTATATATACATATATACACATATACACATGCACACATAATATATATGTGTGTGCATATATATATATACATATATATGTATATACATACATATATATGTATATATATGCATGATCTAAATCCTTATTCAGTACATAACATTTTGAAAGGTTATTTGTCTTTATAAACTTTATTCAATCCTGTAATTAAATCTTATATGTTTGAAAGCCAGACTCCACAGAAGCATCTGGTCTGAGTGTGTACAGAGAGACACTCTAGTTTCCCTTAGCAACAAGATCCACCTGAAGGCTTTTTAAATGCTCCTCCCATTTAAGGTTTCATTGTATTCTAATCACTCATTTGGCAAAAAGTGTAGACAGGATAAATGTTTGCATATTTGTATGTATATATGCATATGTATATGTATGTATTTGCATGTTTATATATATGCATGTTTGTTCATATAGGCATATATAATATTCATATACAGGTTGTCCCAAAACTCTTCATGCACTTTGAGATACCCTATATCTCTCTCCATCAATTTATACTCATCAGCAATATATATAGCTGTATAGACACTCTATGTCTGTATACATACATGTATAGTACATATGTGTATATCTAACTAAAGCAAAGTTTATCTTCACTATTATTTGCCCATCTAGAACACTCAGTGAAGTGTCACAGTACAGTGATGGGTGTATGAGGAGTTAACAAAGTTATTGTTAGAGTCAAGATGAGGGAATTGAAAGGAATTGAATAAACAAAAATATTCTATTTAAGTCTTAAATCAGATTTTGTGATGTTCTCATTATAACTGAATCTTTTCCATTCACCTCCTCTGAGCTATCTTAGGAAGAGGTAAATCAGCTCTAACTTTTCTTCTGACCCAAAGAAACTATTTCGGACAAGTTGTCCCTACAGTTACAAGACCATAGATTTAGAGCTGGAAGGGACCTCAAAGGTCATTCATTTTCCAGATGAACAAAATGAGGCCTAGACAGGTTAAATGGCTTGTGCAGTGTCACTAGTAGTAAACAGAAAAGTTAGACTTTGAACCCAGAGCCTCTTAGTCCACTTTCATGGCTCTTCTCTATGCAGTTCAATATATGCCATGCACAGTACCTTCCAACATTTTTCCCCCCAGTATCAACCTCCTTGCTTATATAAATACTGAAAGAATCTATCTGCTAGTCATTTCCAAATTAAGGGAAACAGACACAGCAATCCCTAGATTCTAGGTTACGAGAACAAAACAGGAAAGCCATGTTGAAGCACATTCACCTTTCAAAGAAGTGTGTACTTTGGGGGTGATTTTTATGAATTCCAGAGGGCATGCCTGGATTAAGCCAGTAAGGTCAGTGTTTCACAGGCAGCGAACCCTGACTATGTTGCTGTACGAACATCCTCAGCAGGGACTCTAACTAGCTTTGTCTTGAAGACTTGGCGATGGGGGCAGGAATTTTGCCAAGAGTGTAAAAATAGGTGCAGTTTGCAGCAGGGTCTCTCTTTCTTCCTTGTCTACCTTGCTTTTCAGAGTCTCAGCCTTGGAGTTGAGTTAGAAGTCATGTGAGCCTGACAACCTGCGAGCTGCAGCGGAGACGGAGCTGAAAGAGAGTGTGTGACCATTAGTTCAGAGCGCTGCTGGCTGGAGAGGCTGGCAGAGAACTGGCGCCGTCAACAGGAGTCAGAGCCAGGGGAACTACAGGGGGGAAAGGGAGAGTCGGCAGCGGTTGCTGCAGCTGTAGCGGCAGCCGCTAACTCACGACAACAGTAACAACAAAACCCCATTGCTTTGCTCCACTTGCGGTTCACCTCGTGGCGCAGATGTACCAGTATATACAGAGCTAAGACTGCCCGGCCAGCTAGTTCCTGGGGAACCTGAAGGAGCTCGCCCGGACTTTGAAGAGGCACTGTTCAGGGGCAGTCCTGCAAGGGGACAGAGGTGAGCTTCGTGGGGCTACCGGGTCTTTTTACACTTCATTGTCCTTGGGGATTCTAAGTCCATCCTTCCCCCGCCCTCTTTCAGGGGTTACTTCAGGGGAAGAATTCGGGGTCAAGGCGCGTTTGTAACGTATCAAGGGAGGAAGGGTCCACTCCCCTGCAGCTTTATAGCATACCACCTAATTCACCAACAGCCTGCCAACGAGCAACTCGTGTGTGTGTGTGTGTGTGTGTGTGTGTGTGTGTGTGTGTGCGTGTGTGTGTTTGCAAAGGTTTTGGTACTAGATCTGTACTCTCACCTTCCTCAATTGGATCTTAAAGCTCTGTCTAGACACTTTCGGGGGGATGGCGAGCTGATGTTTCATCCTGGGGGTGGGGTGGAGCGTGTGGACCTGGGTCAGCATAAAAAGACTCTCCCTTCAAGGTAGCCCTGCGGTGCGTATAAGAGAGTTGTGGATTTGGAGTCAGAGTTTTCTTCTTGGCACTGCGACTTAAAACACTTGGGTACCCTTGAGCAATCATTTGCCCTCTCCGGGCTTCAATTGCCTCATTTGTGCATCTGAGAAATAAAGGGTTTGGACTAGATCGCTAAAGTCGTTTCCAGCTTCAAATCTATGGTGCTGTGTTCCTTTATGGTTCGTAAAACTTGAGATTTGCGCAAGGAAAAAGTTTTCCTCGCATTTCCCCCAGCACCTATAAACGCTCTTTCTCTTCTCCCTCCCTCAGGCTTCGCAGCTTCTGCTGACTTCTGGCCTCCTTGTCCCCTTCGTTCTGCTCCAGCCTGCCTCTCAAATGGAGTCCCCGGTGCAGATCTTCCGTGGGGATCTAGGCCCGACCTGCCCGCCAGGCTCCTGCCTGCTGCCCAACAGCAGCAACTGGTTTCCAGGATGGGCAGACCAGGATAGCAACGAGAGTGATAGCTACGAGGATCAACAGCTGAACCATACGCGCATCTCCCCTGCCATTCCCATCATCATCACAGCGGTCTACTCCGTGGTGTTTGTGGTGGGCTTGGTAGGCAACTCATTGGTCATGTTTGTGATCATCAGGTAAGGAGAATGAGAGAAAACAGGTGGGAAGGAACGAAATGGACTCCCTGTCTACTTTTTAGGGAAACCAGAAAACCGGGAAATGGGTGGATGGTCCACTCAGGCTAGGCAATCTGGAGCGCCCCCAGGAGACAGGAAACTCTTACTGTGGTCAGAGAAAGAACAGTACAAGATTCTGCCTCTTGAGGGGGACATCGTCAGTCCCTGCTAGGTGCTGCATATGTGGGGCTTTTGTTGTTTTTTTTCCCCCTTATGGAAAGGTTTCATGAAAATATATTTTCAAAATCCTCTGGCAAACACACGCACAATTCAAGGTTTTCTATGAGTCATCAAATTAGTGTTGTCGATTGTAGAGTTAAAATACAATATTTTATTAAAGTCTGATATCCACATAAGCCATTCTAGTAACTTAAATTCCACTCTATAAATTACAGGGGGGAAACAAGATTGTTCTGTTGCAATATTAGCAGCTTCAGTTAATAAGCTGTTTGACTTTCCTAATTATATATTTTGAGGGAGGGCATTATGGATTTGTGAGATTTTACAATACTGCTTTGATGTCTTCAGATGAAGATCATTTTTGGGGGGTTGTATTTTGATGAGAATCATTCTAGGTTTAGAAATGTCCCTGGGTGACATGAGTCACTGACTGCTGAGATAATTTAACAAAGCTTTGCCCACATTCAAAAAAGCTTCACTTGTGTCTTGATATGGAACCTTGATAAGTGAGACATATATCTCTGAGACCAAGTGAATGGCAAAATAAGTGATAAAGATGTGGCTTATCCAATATAAAAAAGAGGAGGGAATGGCAATGCACCGATTTCTCTTTTAATCACTAACTGGATTTAAATATAGGGTCTTTATCCTGTTCCTAAAGAACAGAAATTACAGTAAGAAAGCTATTTGATCAGTGAATTTTATTTTTGCTTCCAAGTATGAGGTTATATTTTTCCAAATACGTATGTGATTACATTTTCAAAAAGCACAATCTGTCAGTTAATCTTCCAAGTGCATCCTTTAAAATTTATTTCACTTACTACTGGGATTTGTTCAACGACCTCAGTATACTTGTTTCTTGTAATTTATTTCATGTTTGCAGGAGTTTAATAAGTATAATGGAAAGGACTAAAACAACAGGGAACCTACTATAAGAACAAAATGTGTCTCAGTCTTTTTTAATTTTACTGTTAATCTCCATGGAAAAAACTTTGTGACAGAAGGGAGATAGGAATGAAACTTGTGATTGTGAATGAAATTACCTCTATAACTTTGGTAGAGGATGTTTTAAAATTTTTAAAATGTATACAGATTAAAGTTATTAATAGTAAAGCAATATGTATTTCTACTTCAGAAAATAGGAATGTGTTTATTGTGAGACTACATTATTATAGTATTTACTAAATGATTCATTGAGATCTTTAGTTTGGAACAAGCTTCCCTCACCTTTGTGTAGAGTGGTTCTTCAATCTTGGCTGAAAGGTATGAAAGAATCCCTAGGACATATGAAAAAAAAATAACCTTAGTGGTGGTATTCCAGAATGCCTATCATTTGAGAATTCTAAATGTCAGAAGCAAGCAAAAAGTAGTATGCAAAAATTGTTCATGAGTCACTTAGAAATTGAATGGTAAATATGCATATAAAATCCAAAGCAATCACAAATTAAAATATACTAGTTACAGATATATTTAACCTCAAATCAAGACTAGCTAAGTGAGGTTCTTGGCAAAAGAAGATTTTTTCTTAAGATCCTTGGGGGATTAAATCCAATAATAAATAGAGAAAGAATTTGTTCTTTGAATATATTCTTGAAATGGTGGTAAAAGTTGAGGTTTATTGCTTAAGAGTATATGGAAAAGCTAAAAATAGATTTGAGTGATGGACAATCAAGGGTTTAACCTTTATGCAAAGGTTAAATTACCAGGAATATTTAGCTTAGAAAAAAATACACTAAAAAGTTGAAAGGAAGCTAAAATAATAGTGTTATAAGGTCAGTTTTCCATCTTCTCAGACAAAAGAACTAGAATACTCTCTATTATATTTGTATACACACATATACATACATATATTATACAAAATGCATTATTTCATGTTTGTATATATGTATATACAAACATATATATGCACACATGGATGTATGTGTGCACATATGTATATGCACATATATGCATGTATGTGTGTATATATATATGTATATATATGTATATATATCAACAATCATTCAGTTTGATACATGGGTGTAGTGACATTGAATTTGGTAAACAGTGGAATGTTTTCCTAGAGAAAAGCAATCTCTCTCTGTGAAGGGTTCAAATTCTCCCCACTCCCCCCAATTCCCCCAAAACCTCAAAACCAACCAAACAAAAAAACCCCAAACCTAAAACTAAAAATTCCATGGCAACTTGACTATCTAAAGTGTCTCACTTCAGTCTAGTAAATAATAGGTCAACCCAAATATGAGAGCCAATATAGTATAATTGCTGGTAACCTGGTCTGAAAGTCAGGAAAATCTGGGTTCAAGTTCTGCATGTGAGACACATCATGGCATCCTTGCTCACACATGCACATGCACACACACACACACACATATACATACAAGCTTCTATTACTTAGGTATTTATGTATGTTTATGTAAGTATTTATAAAAAGCTGTATGTTTATTTGTATGTGGGCAGCTAGGTGGCACAGTGGTTAGAGCTCTAGTGCTGGAGTCAGAAAGTCCTGAGTTCAAATCCAGCTTCAGATACTTCCTAGCTGTGTGTCTAGGCAAGTCATTAAACCCCATTTGTCTCAATTTCCTCATCTGTAAAATGAGCTGGAGAAGGAAATGGCAAACTACTTTAATATCTTTGTCAAGAAAACCCCAAATAGGATCATGAAGAGCTGAACATGACTGAAGCAACTGAATAAAAACTGTGCATGTATATACACAGACATATCAATCAAACATTTTTAAGTGCCTGCTATGTGTCAGGCACTATGCTAAACCCTGGAGCTACATATGATATGTAATCTGTCATCTATCTATCTATCTATCTATCTATCTATCTATCTATCTATCATATATCTGTGTATATCTCTCTCTGTATGTATATATACACATACTACATACACATACACATATGCATGTATCCCCCCAAGCTAGATATGTATACATACATATATAATACACACATATATTTGTGTCTATATACATATATTTGTCAAATTTCTCCCACCTTGCATATCTACATGTATTTATATGAGTGGAACAATTGCTTTGCCTGCAGTCCAGCTAATGAATTATAAAATATAAAGGACAGAGGCAGGCCAGGACCTTCATGGAAGACAGTTAATTTTTGGATTGTTAAGAACTGCACCACATCCACTTTGCTGAGACTCTTTAGTGCAAGGCACTGGGGGAATGCACTGGAAAAAGACAATGTTTGACCATCGCCAAGGCTATCTAGAATTGGAACTAAGTACAAATGTCCCCAAAGCAATCAAGTTCATTTGCTAGGGAAAACAAATGTTTATCTAGGGGCAGAGTTGATGAAATTACAGAATCTAAGATAGATAACAAAATAAAGGTGTTAAGGTCTTAAATGAAGTTCAAAAAGTGTTTATATGTATTACTTGCTCATAAGTTATGATGTTCTTTAGGCAAGATGGCTGAAATAAGAAAGTGCCGACCATTACTCCTTTACAAGGTATGTAAAAGTTAATCATCCAAGCTTGATGGAATTAGAAGGAAACTAGGCGGTGACTGGCCAAATGATCAGTTGCCCCTCTACTGGATTTTTAAAAAGCCAGAAATACTTTCTAAAATGTAGGTTGAAGTAGGACTCAGGAATGTAGGCTTTGTGCATCAATAAGAGCCAGTCTTGGCTTTTGGGAGCTGAGCTGTGAGGGGAATAGACTCAAAGGGTCCAGTTCATTTCTCCTTAGAAGAGATACTACACCCAAGAAGAACAGCATGAGGGTATTACAAGGTGGGAGAGAGATTTGAGGCCATGAAGTGCTACCAGTGTGAGTTACTAGGTTTTGTTTGTTTCTTATATGTGTGCCTTTCCACTACTGCATTCTTTGTGGATACCCACGCTTCCTACTTATGATGTGTGTAGTTGTGGTGCCAGTATAATTCAGGTTTATGAGACTAGTGTTCTATTGCTTTTATGCTTATGGGTACCTCTTTGCATTGAGCTAATTGTACCTATCAGCTGCCAACTAAAGGTAAACATAACAGTGCCACTTGATAGGAATCTTGAAGGACACAAGGGACTCCTGGCGGTAGAGGTTATGAGGGACAGTATTCAAGATTTTGAGGATGACTTGTACAAGGTCATAAAGATGGGAGATGGAGTAGTATGTGTGCAGAGCAGCAAATAGACCAGTATGGTGAGACCATAGAAAGCAAGGAGATGGGTAACATGTAATTAGACTAAAAAGATAGAAATTAACTTGATGAATGAATATTATAAAACTATGCTTTCATGCCTTGATTATCCAGATCAACTGGTTTTGATTTTTTTGTAGCCTCAAAGCTTAAGTTTGCATTTTTAAGCACTTGATTGTCTAGGCCATCATGTTTTTTTTTTTTCCTCTTAGGTATTTTTTTTCTGGAATTATCATATATTGCCACTAAATGATGGTCATGGGTTCATGGCTTGACTCATAAAGATTACTGCATAAGATTATATAGCTTTAGAGGTATAAAAGGACCTCATAAATTATCTAATCCAATCTCATCATTTTGTAGGTGAGAAACCTAAGACCTAGAGATGAGAAGTGACTTTCCCAGGGTTACATAGGTTGCTGCAGAGCCAGAATTAAACTCAAGGTCCTGGTCCCAAATTTGCTTTTTATTTTTGGGGGCTCCATTACATCTTGCTGCCCCTACCTATACAGCTGAACTTAACATTACTACAGTAGGTTTAGTATATTTAGAGAAGGCTTTAATGAAAATAATTCAAAGGTATAATCTGGTACCTTTCTCATTAATCATTGTTCTCCTTTATAG